GTGCCGAAGAAGCATCTAATACCCTGCGGCTGCAATACGCCCCAATTTTCGAACTCGCAACCTCTACTTGTCCCATAACGCCATGCACATTACCGACACCATTGTTTACAAATGTAATTTTCAACCCACCAATTGTGTTAAGGAAGTTACTCTCACTGCGTGAGCATAGTTCTCCGAGAGCAGACAACATCCGCCCGAAGGCACTGAAGGATGTGGCCAACAAGCTAGCTGAACCACTGTCACAGTTCTTCCAAAGATGCTTTGATGAGCAACAAGTCCCCACTATATGGAAGTGTGACATTATCACCCCTATTTTTAAAGGCGGTAGCCGTTCAGATCCTGCAAACTATCGTCCAGTAATTCTTCTCCCTGTGCTCGCGAAGGTGATGGAAGCAGTCGTCGCTGAGGCTTTAATGGACTATCTGGGAAAATGCAACATCTTGGTACCGGAACAGCATGGCTTCCGTCAACACTGGTCATGCACCACCAACCTTGATCCAGTGTGTCAGTTGTACGCCGTAACGGCGCTTCGCTGCCGCGCAACCAGCACCAGTCGTGCGCGGGCTGAGTATACCGCGAGGACGCCCATCCCTAGGCGGATTCGAACCGGTGACCTTATGGTTTCAAAGCAAACGTGCAGACCACTCGGCCGTTCACTCTTACGGGGCATTCCCATCACATCCTCCTTTTATCGTGTCCTTGCGCATCCATATTGCGAGGCACTTTGTACACGTTGCCACTCCGTGTCGTCTTCGCTGCATCCGCCGCAGTGATTTCTTTGCCCCATGCTACGGGACACCCCACTCGCATTCTGCATTGTTGTCTCAGGTGTCCTCTCAACGGCACTCGATTTCTTCTGATCGTTTTCCCTCCAGAATTTATTTCGTATGACCTTGCATCGACCTTCGCGGTAGTAACAAATTTCTTCCACCACTCTTAACCATCGGTTAATGGTTACACCCACACATCCTCCCCAATATCAGCTCAGGTAGTGACCGTGCACCGCGGTCGTAGTGCCGTTTCTGAGTAATCAGTCGTCTTCGCAAACTGTTCTGTAGTTACACATACTATAGAGAAAATGAGGGCGAAAGTGTGGCGGACGCTCGCATCAGAGTTCTAGTCCTTTGGCTGTATAGACGTTGCACTGGGCTAAGAAAAATATCCGTTGAAGGAGTATTGTGATTCTCCGGTAGCATGAGGTTTGCGTCTTCGCCAGTAGCTATAACCTTAGACAAGAGTTGTTTGGCTCCCTTCATTGCCGACGCCGCCTTTCAATTCGATTGGTTGGCATATGGGCTCATTTGCTGGTGCACGAATTCCCACTTGGTTGCGAAGAGTTGGAACGCAACGCTACTAAACTGGGGAATATTGTCGGAGACCAAATGTACCGATATTCCGCGCCGAACAAACTGACATATGCTTTTTTTGATTACTGCTTCAGCGGTCGTAGTAGGGTGTAAATCAAATTCAAGTTCTCTTTCCCGTTGTTACAGAAGAAATCCACCACCACTTGTCACTGTTATGATATTTTATTTGTTTATTTTTGCGCTGTCACGATCGCTCAGGGATAATATGCAGCATCATTGGTTCCTTCGTCTGCCGGATTTCGTGTGAACGGCACGCCTCGCATTTCGACATATCCCTGATTTGACTCGTCATCTCTGACCAGAACATCAGTTGCTCAGATATTGATAGGTAGGTAGCACCCAGAGGAGCACGATGAACGTGATTAGACATTCCTCCTGGGAGCAATGACGGGATAACAGTACGGCTTTCCTTGAACCGTAAACCATCATAGACGGAGAGTTCATCCCGAAAATTGAAGCAGGTTGTTGGTTACTTCGGTATGCACAAACATATTTAATCATCACAAGATGTGGTTCAGATATTGTGATGTCAACGGCTACTACTTTCTGTGACCACTCAGTTAGTGTGTCTCTCATGACTGTATGACGCCTTAGACGATCTTCCATCACTCTCAGATGCTGTACGAGGTTAGCTGCTTCGACCACTTTCGGTTGTTGCTCGGATACCGCCAAATGATCTCTTGACGGTGTATCCGCTATAAACATTTGCGCACCTGGCATGTACGCAATATCCGTGTTGTAATTTGAGATAGGAGAAACATGCGCTGAAGAAGACGAGCAAAGTTGTTCAGCGGTTTACTGGCTATCGACACAAGCCGAACTTAAACATGGTCTGCAATGATTCGAAATACCTATAGCTCGGGTTGGTAGTTAAGTTTTTGATTGGTCGGTAGACACAGTTGTCCTTCTTCATATAGTATAATCGTTGAAATGCCCCATGGTATAAACTACCGCGAGCATCTCCTTCTCAAGCTGCGCACAGCGCTGCTCTGTCATGGCGAGTGCTCGACTGTAAATCCAAAGATTCGACATTCTGTAGAAGAACAGCACCTACTCCGTCCTGGCTGTCACACTGTACCTGCGCTGGATCGTAATATCTGAGTACAGTCGCGTGGCTGATAAGGTGTTTAATGGTCGTAAATGCGGTTTCCTGTTCGTAGTTCCAACTTCACTTTAATCCTACGTAAGGTCGCTTCCTCATCGGCCGGTGGCCAAGTGGTCTGCGCGCCTGGTGTGCAACCAAAAAGACGCCGATTCGAATCAGCGAAGGGGCAGGCGTTCTCGCGGTATACTCAGCCCACGCGCGACTGGTGGTGATCGCACAGCAGGGAAGCGCCCTTAGGGCGTACAGTTGGCAAGTTACTTTATTTTGTTGTCTTTATCACGAGTCTTGGCATGAAACGGCTCAAATAATTCACCATAGCGTTTAAACGATGGATCTCCTTCAAGTCGTTAAAAGTGGCACCTCACGTTTTGCCTAATATTTTTACTGGATCGGCCTTCGTTCTTCGGTTGTTAGCACATATCCATAGGAAATAACCTCATCTTTCCGAAGCTCAATTTCCTCCGCTTAGGCTTGCCATTCTTTACATACAACGTCGCAAGAAACGGTGAAGATTAGCGACACGTTCTTCTTCCGTCGAGTCGCAAAGCAAAACATCGTCTGCCACACACGTCACATCAGCTGTCGTCTATAGCTTGCACTAAAAGTTTTATTTTGAAAAATTTCGCTCGAAACCTCCAAACCAAGCGATAAACGCAGGACAGGTATCAGAGACGAACTAAGCGTTCGCTTAACTAGCGTCCCGTTTAGTGTGCCAGTAAGCGAGAATAGCTCCCAACACTTCGAGGTGATAATATATTCTTGCATTTAGACTACTATACTATACTGTATTTGCATAGGCTTCTTGCATATGGTTAGAGGTTGAAATGAGTGTTCACAAGAATTCGGAGAACAGGGCCAACCACATTCCATCCAGGTCTCGCTTGAAGTCCTCTACCGTCCTATATACCAATAATGCAGACTAAAGTTTGTTCCATGATTTGAGAAGAATTTACCTCTTATATGGAATCTAGATCGCTGCTGTTCCAACTTTAGCCTATGGCGTCGCAAGTGGGCCGACGTAGCTGGTTAAAAGAGATCGGTTGGCCTGAGATCGATGTGACCCTTCATGATTTTGAATGTCTCTATTAAATCCCTTCTTAGTCTGCGTCTCCTCATTGAGTACAAGCTTAATTTGGCCAACCGAACCTTATAAGGTAATCCCCACTGGCCTTCTGTTATTCGAGTGACCAGTCTTTGCACATTCTCAATGCAATTTACGTCCATCTGCAAGAAGGACGCCCAGGTCTGAACACAGGATTCCAAATGTGACCTGACCACTGCTTTATACAAAGGGAGAGACTTCTGACCTGGTACATACAACTCAGAGCTCCTAAGACGAAATCTGTCATGATTTGTAAGCAGGATGCTTACATCGCGCCAATACCTTCAAGTTATTCGTCAATATGGTGCCAAGATCACGTGCTTCGATAGTACATTGCATTGCCAGGGACCCAACAGCTGCTTGCAGTTCCACATTTTCGCCACTCTGAGTCAAGATTTAACATTTGCTGGCGTTTAGAGGCAGATGCCATGAGTATGAGCACCTAACAACAGTAGCCAAATCGTTAGATGGAATAACCTTGTCGCCCTTGTTAACAAACTTGAAACCATCAGCATAAATATGTGAAGGTTCCTCAAGTAAAGGGGCCAAGTTATTTATAAACATGAACAACAGTACCGGACCCAGTACTGAACCCTGGAAGACTCCACTATGTGCAGTAGCTGTGCTCGAAATACCATTTCCAACTCTAACACGTAATATCCTATCACAGAGGAACGCAGACAGCCGAGAAAGTAGTTGAGGGTGTAGTCCAAATCAGGTCATCTTTTCCAGCAAAAGTGATGGTTTACCTATTCGAAAGCAGCTAACATAACGTCCGAATGGTGTGGCAAAGGTCATATGGAAACTGGGTTCTTCATTTAGCATGCCGGAATCTGAAAGACAGGTCGTCCTTTGTGAAATAATTAGCTTTGGCGAAACGCGGCAAAATGTCTTCTGGGGTTGGTTGCGCATAGTGCTCTCTACACAGGGCCTCTTCCAACGTTTTCGGATCAATTCACAAGCGCAAGTCGCCCATCTTATTCGTAATAATTGCGAGGTGACTAAACCAACCGCGCACGACGCGGAGTAGAGAATATTATGCGCTAATGACCAATGAACAATTAGCTGAGTGCCACAACACATGGGTAACAGCAAAGCAAATAGAAGAATCGGCGGTAAAGGGAACGGATACGAAGGTTTATGTGTCCGTCCACAACAGTAACTAACGACCATGATGAGCCAATGTGGTTCCTCTTTTGACTCAGTAACATAGTGGGTAATGCACACTAAACTCCTCCAATCCGTGTCTAGTGATCCAATCCGTTACGTGGGTCTCAAGTCGGTTGTTTAATCCCTCAGTTTACTCTAATAACATGCATGACCAGTCACCTTTAAAATATCCCATGGAACATCATAGTACTACCTTTTGCAACGCGGGGATCAATTTTTACCTGGGGCTGAGGCGGTACTCAGTGTCATTTAATCTACCTGCCAGCACGTGAATGTACCGATCAATGATGCTATTCGAACTCCAACCACACCGCTAACTTACTTGGTGGACACTGTATTTGGGCCGTAGCAAATCGCCTCGTAAAGTATCTAACGAGGAAAAATGTATCCCGCTGATAAGTCCAATCATGCGAATGCAGATACAGATATTGGGCCCGGCACATTTGCCCTCCATTCTGAGCCATCTTTAGAATCGTATTGCAACATGGATTCGTGGTCTGAACCAGGAAGTGAAGATTTAGTCTTTCGGCCCGTTATGCGCCGGCGCCGGGCACAACCTCCGCGAGGAAAACTTCGATGTGGAACTCAGTATTGGAATCGTAATCTGAGCAATGCTGACGATCAGTTGGACACGGCGGAAGTAACCGAAGATGCAGTGGACTTGGAGAGACTCCAACGAGAGAAGGTCCTGGAGGCCATGTCGCGAACATCATGGTGGCTTTGGCCGTTCGCTCAATTCTTCCGCTTGTTAGGTACAATATTCTGCACCTACAAAATTGAGATTGGACTGCGTGGCAAACTTCGCAAAGCACTTGGTGACCCGACAAAAATGTTGCGGCAAAACATATACGGATTATTCATTGGCATACTGATGGGCTTCGGGGCGTATCTGCTATTCCTTCTCACATTCTCCAACAACCCGCGCTTATCCACGCTTCTCAGTGCTTACTTCATGTTGGTGTCTGTGTTTGGAATCGCTTTTTCTGAAGACTTTCGTTGTATCGCCTTGCTCACGGTACCCTATTTGGCGGCTAGTCGAGTACGTTGGTTACTTATGCTTTACGCTACTAGCCTGTCTATCACTGGACCGGGGCTTAACTTTTTGCACAATTCAGGTAATTTTCGCAACGCCATTGCATGTATTCTGTCCCAAGTCACTACCAATATGCTTCTCATTCAAAAGCTTACCTCAGCACCCTTTTCATTGCTAAAAAATCAGTTGGATAGCTTGATTGATGGACTGAACCAGACGATCGATCGGTTGCGGGACACTCTACGCAAAATCAACTTTGCCATGTTCAAAGTTACTAGAGTTATGGAACAGCAATCCAGCTGGATCGCTTCGTTAGTCGAAGCCTGTGGCGATCCGGTAGCGTTGAAGAATCAGTGCTTATCTTTTCTGAACAATATTTACTTCAACTGCAAAGCTTCGATGGGCATCTTCGATTTTGTGTGTGGACTGGTCAGGCAGTTCGCTGCCGATACTTGCGGGGGTGATATAGCCATGAACAAAGTATGTCAGAGACAAAAGGAATTGTTGGACGATAAACTTGAGATTGACTCCACTACTGATTTGGATCGTAAGATGAACGATATCCTGAAACTGGTCGGGGAAACGAACTTGTCGTTGCAAGGCGATTTCGATGAGTACCAAAAGATGATAATCGAAAGTGACGATTCTGTCATATCTTTGTTACAACAGCGAATGGACGCATTTATTAATACGGTGGAACATGGTAAATATATTTTGTCCTGGATACTAGTGATTTGGACCTTGTTGACGATGCTACAACTGGTGATCCAGGCTGCTATTTTCCGTAAGAAGTGGATCGTAAGGGACACATTTGACAACGTCTACATAACGGCTGCGTTCGTGGCACAGGTAGGTTGAAACCTTGGCTGTTGCAGATTCTGTCGCTATGCTGTTTGGTTAGTTCCTAAACAGCTTTATCATGTTAAATGGACTAATTCTGAGACCGACATCGTTTCGAAGTAATTGTCAATTACCGAGCGGTTGTGCATTTATGACAGAATCTACATTCGATAAGTAATCAATTTAATTAACCACGTGCCGCCTAATCAAGGCTTTTCTGTGATGGCACAGTAAAATGCGTACAGATCATTTCAAAATGTGGGCAAGTCGGAGGTGAACTCGCGACATAGAAACATCCTCACTGCTGTTCGTTGCAATAGCTGATTCTAGTATCGGTTCTCTCCTAGGCAGAACCGTTCGTGTTGGTAGCTGGTTCATGTTGGTAGCTGGAATCCAGCCGTCAGATTGGTTGGATTGTTTAAAGCATCGAACCTGGTCATGACTTTGTATTCATCGGGAACATTATCAAATGAGCACTTATGAGATGAACCAAGGAATACACAGTCAGTAGGAAAGGTTGGTGCACAAAATTCAGCACAAATCAAAGCTTTGTATTACGGAATGCCTTAACAACACGACCGGCACTGAATACACATCTCACTTATTCATGAGCATAATTATTATTGTACTACTGATATCTAATCCGGAGATAATCTGTCGCATACTCGCAATACACGTATTAGAATTACTTATTATTATTTTTATTATTATTATAAACCACGCTGGGAAAAACGTTGCCAGTGTTGTTGCAGCCTATGTCCCCACGATTTGTAGCGCTTTCGGCGAAAGACTACTTCTATCACCAAATGAACGTGCTCCTTCGTTATGGAAAAATTAAGGATAATCTGGTACTGTCTGGTGAGCTGAACCCTTAAGCGGGATAGCTCCACTGATGGGCAGTAACTGGGCGGTCAACAAGGTGTAGGCTCCAGTAATGATAACGACGAGCGGTTGCCACACCTATGTGAGGATGCTCGTCTATTCCACACGAGCACTAACTTCCGAAACAGCATCCACAAAAGAGTCACATGATGTCTACCAGCCTCGGGCTAGCCATGGACTTAAATCGACCACGTCGCGATCAGTTGCCGTTGGACAGACTGCATCCAAAACTGTCGTTCAATTTTAAACATGAGCGTAGACTCCCACCACGTACTTGTATGAGCCGATCTCAGAATCCCCTTCGGCGGACGCATACAACGACGCTGTGAGCGCATAGACAAAGAAAACTGGCGAAGCCAGATGTTCGGAATGTACATCAAACTGCGCTGGCATGCGGGTTGAGGAAGTGGCACTGAACGCATACCCCCAGACGTAATTGGCAGCAGGCATGTATTCATGCGACAGATCAGACTGTCAACCTGGACATTGCATTTTCACGCAATTTCTCCTCGATGCTAACCGATCAGTTTCGGTTGGAATGTAAGGTAATGAGACACGCAGAGAACTCAGGGCAAAACTGTGTGCAAGGTTGAAGAGATACTGCGAAACCTGATGGTCTCATCGTTCATTGGAGATGGAAACAACCGCTGCCCTTCAGTCAAATAGGGGCAGCACGAGACCTGGTGCTAGTAAAGCTACATGCAACGAGAGTGGGCAGCTAATCGTCAGCAGGTGGTCGAGTGGTCTGCACGTCTGGCATGCACCGGTTTGAATCTGCGTAGGGGTGGTCGTCCTCCCGACATATGCTCAGTCCACGCGCGACTGGTGGTGGTCGCGCGTCAACGAAGCGCCGTTAGGGCGTACAGCTGACACATGATTTTATTATCTTAGGACAGCCAATCAAGAAGTTGTCAAGACGCTTGGAATGTTGGGCTGAACACTGAAAAGTGGTTATTCATTCAGAGTTCCCAGTTTTCTTATTCGCCAGTGAGCACTTTTTTGGACTATCTCTTTGCATGCACCCTGCGCTCAGACATCGAACGTGAGATCAGACTGTTAAATTAAATAAGGCCGCAAGAGCAGACAGTCTTCCACCAACCCTCTTCAAATTCGACGGGCATGCTACTGTGGATGATCTACACAAATTACTAGTGAAGTGATGTGAGCAAGAGCCAGCGCAGACGGGTTAAAGCCGCTCCGTAACAGTCCTAATCTTCAGGATAAACTCAGACTCGGAATGCGGCAACCATAAAGGTAGTATCATAATAATCATCATCGCAAACACACGTTAGCCGAGGGTGAGAAAAACTCCTCAAGCATTACGAAATGCAAAATCTAAAAATGCAGGTAATATGATGATAAGTGTCATATTATGTACAGAATGTGAGATCGTGATAGTATAGGAAGGCGAAGTGGGAGGGAAAGGGACAAAGGAACTCACAACACCAAGGCTATTGAGGTCGGTTCTTCGACATGTCAACAAGTGTATACAAACAAAAGTATTCACCGTCTCTTGGGCGCCAACCCAGCAGCCAGGAGGCACCAGCCGACACCATGTTCGAAGCGAGGGTCTTCATTCTTATTAACCACGTCATCGCTTGGCCTCCCTTTTCCTTCCATCCATATCCCGGTCGCGCGCATCGGTGTGCTGACATGCGCAAAACGCGGCCCAGATATTGGAGCCTGGTGCATAACATTATGGTGTTGTGGTTCACTCGCTCCTCCTGCAAAAACACAGGACGGCGAACACGCTCATTGCTCAAGCGGTGTTCACACCAGACATGAGTTAAACTGCGAAGATAGCGATGGTCAGGTAACGACACCAAATTGAATGGCAGAAAGGCGAAACCGAAGAGACTCCCATTGAAAGGCATTTGCGGGTTAGGAGAATGTCATCGGGTAGTAAAAATCGGTCTGGCTTGTTCGCACTGTTTGGTTTGGTACCATACGAAATGTGCAAATGTGTCCCAATAACAGTTACGGGAGCGGAATCGCTCCCAATATGCATTTTGGTTCTGTACTGCGTGTTCCACCATCCCCCTCGTTAAGTGCTTGCTTATCCTAGCTGAGAAATGCGACCGGTTAATCGCAGAAGCAGAGGATAAACAATAAGCTTACTTCAATGGAAGCGAGTATGGACCACAGAAGCGTAGCGGCTGCTAAGTAACGGAACGCTGAACAATCCGCTTCCCCTGCACCGCAATCAGCTACGTCTCCATCTCCGTTGTCTTCTCCAACTTTGGTAGAACGCCGGGCGAAAACAGACTGTACCTACGTGAATCAAACAGTACTCACAGCAACGAAAATCAGGCACCATTCAGAACGTCTGGTTAAGCAAATTCCACTAGACCTGACATCTAGTATTAACAAGGATGAAGCAGCCAAACACCAACCCTCAGTACCTGTAGCTCAAATATCTCTTGTCGAGACTAAGCCTCCCAGAACATCGGTTACATATGCAGAGATTGCTGCAAAGGTCCACCGAGAGGCCGCCATTACGTCCTCTGCCATTGTAAACACCGTTAACGCAAATAGAGAGAAAAAGAGCGAACAATCACTTGTCAACAAGTCAAGACAAATGAGTACCATACCTTGTAGATCGATCAAAAAGGGATCCAACAACAGTGCCCGGACTGTTGTATGCTCAAATGCCCCTGAATCTACCGCCATCACATTGCGGGATAAGTTATCAGACGACCAAGACCAATGGAACTCATTGTGTATACAGATGAGTATCAAAGCCAAGCCCATAAACTTGTTACGAATTACTCGTCATCCGAACTCGCCATACTATGGTGAACCCAGACTTATTCGAGTAACTCTAGAATTCTCCACCGACGTAGAAAACGTTTTGTTCTCCGGAAGCGCGCTAAAACACGGATCCTGTGGGATACGTATCTATCCTGATGTCTCTTGGAGCGCGCGACAACCAAAACGAAACACCGAAGAGGGGCACAGCAAGCAAGACCGCCTAAACACAATCTTCATACATGGCGTGTCAGAACATCCTTCTAACGATGTTCAAGAGACCGGAAAGCACGATTTAGAACAGTGGCGGTTCATTCGCGAAACACTTTCTTTGGATAATGTTGTGGCACTGTCGCTCACCAGGATACCTCTCTCATCGAATTATAGAGGATGCGGCCCTAGAGTCCTAAAACTTGTGGTTCAGTCAGAGCAACAAGCAAAGGATGTTTTGGATCGATGGCGGAGAAATCGGAAACATCTTCCTTCCGAAATTCGGTTAAAGGTCGCAAGCATTTTGCACAGCTCAAATATTAAAGCAACTGAAGCAGCAATCATACTGACGAATGTACAGAAGTGTAACTTGACTGCTGCTTTAATTGACTCTGACGTAGGTCTAAACGAAGGCTGGGACGCACCTCGGCCGAATCAAGTTGCAAACGAGATATCATTATCTCATCAAAAAAGAGTAACTGCCGATCTCCCATCGGTCGGCATTCTTCAACAAGTGACTCCCTCACACCTCTGTGGGCTCCTAGAGACCGAGAAACTGGGCTGCTTGTATACACATGCTCAGGGACTTTCTAACAAACTGACTGAACTGAAAGATCGCCAAGCTTCCGGCTCGTATGATGTCATTGGTATCACCGAGACATGGTTGCACACGGGAATGGACGCTGAAGTGTCGCTACCCGGTATGTCGCTGATCAGGAACGACAGGCTCACAAAATGAGGAGGGGTAATAATGTACTACCAAAACGAATTACAGTGGGAAGCCGTGGAGGATTCAGACTCGCAGTTCCCTGACTTTCTTTGGTGCCGCTTGCAGTTAAAAGTCAGGGACGCTTGCCTTATTGTCTTAGTGTACCGCGCCCCTAACTCAACACCCGAAACCGATTACCACCTAGCGGCTGCTTCCAGGTGCAGTTTAGAACAAAAGTACACTCACATTCTTATCACGGGTGATTTCAACGTACATTGTTTAGAAGCCCCTGCCACGATCGGAGAACAATTCAAAACCGATCTACAAGATCTAGCAACTACTGTTCCTCTTTACAACCACATCACTTTGCCCACTCGGTTCAGAACTGGTAACAGGCCATCTGTGCTAGATCTTGTGCTTACCAACGAGGAGCATATGATTGATGCGTTGGTTTTAGACT